TTGAGATGGTCTTGCTGCCTCTCCCTAAGCACTGAAATATTTGACTAAGAGAATGACACATTGTTCTCCTGGGATATTAGACAATGCTACTAGAATGACAGGGGCAGGAAGGCCTCTAAACATCTATAGCACAACTCACTTTTCAAAGGACTGCAGGGGTAAAGAATGTTCTCTAGAAAACAATACTCATGGGAAAACTACATTGACTTCCTTCCTCCTGGGATCCTCTCAAATCATAGGAAGCGATGAGGAATCAATTGAGAATTCTGTGCTCTCTTGGGAAAAAAATTTAAAACAACACTCAAAGAAACCTTCTAAATACATGTGTTCAAAAAATCATGCCCATGGAAGTCGTTGGAAATCACCACCGTATCTTTAAAAAATTACAAAATTTAGCCACATATGGAAATCTGCACAGTTTTTCAAATATATTTTGATTATTTAACCAACATTCATATAAAATTTACAAAGCAGCAGACTTTTCCATGGCCGTTTCAAATAACAATTTTCACCCTCCAACAACCGAATACAGAAAGGTCTCATTACAGAGGAGGAAACTGAGGTATGGGGAGGCTAAGAAAGTGACCTACGGCTACAGCCACGCCTAAGTGTCAGGATGAGGATTCGAACCCGGGCACCCTGACTGCAGACTCTCCACTCGGAAGTATTATGCACTTTTGAAAGTTTTCTGAAAGGACCAACCAAGAAAGTGAGAAGCAAAGCTGCAGATGGTTTCTGCATACAGAATTGGAAGTTCTAAATGTTACCAGTGTGAGCCCAGATTCTCTCTTATAGTGAGGATTTTATTTTTACCAAGCTCTGTGAAACACACAAAGCTCAGGTGCCACCTGAAAATGTGAGAAGTCATTTGGCAAACGAATGAGGTTATTCAGACACACTCTTCAGGTTGGCGTGCTCATTTATTTAAGGCCGGAACAGAGGTGTAGTGAGTAACAGAAGGCCTCTACTCCAAAATATGGGTCTTTCTCACCAGTTCTAACAATTGTAGAGTTATTTGGGTTAACAAGATCCTCTTTTGGGATGGAAATACCCTCTAATATGGTTTGATCTGTGTCTACTATGCCTTAATGATGTACAAACCCTCTCGGTTTTTGTTAGGGAGGGAGAGAAAAAATATATTCAATGAATCTGACTTTCAACACTTTCATCCTTTTGTTTCCCTCCTCATCTCTGTCAAAAGATTATTCCTGTTCCAGCCTCTGAAACCAAACCTGTGGATATGTTGCGTTTAAGAAACTCAGTTCGCAGGGCTCCTGGGCCCACTTTGACGTATGCGGGGGTTCTTTTAGCAAGGTCCTTATCTCTTTCCTCGGAGCCTGCATCTCTGCCCAGATAACTTACCCTAGGGTTCTAGCTTCTCCAAGACCGAGGCTGTGCTCTGCTTTACCCAGCCTTCCTTGAAAGGCCACACCTGGAGCAGCTGGGACTTCTGTCACACCTGCAGGGGCATGGAGGCCCCCTGCGTGGCTCCCCTCCGCTGGCCGCAGCACCCACTCATTGCCCTGGCTGTGCGGGTTTGACTCTCTTCACCCTAGCACAGGACCTGTCTTTCCAGCACCTGGCAGTCCCCAAGCATCTGCCCCCGCACTAGCAGGAGTGTTTGATTTCTCGATCCTGGCCTTTCCACAGCCAGTGTGATGGGACTCCCAGTGCTGGCTTTAACCTGGAATCAGCTGTTCACGTATGCAGATGCTTGAGTCACATCCAGTCATTAACCTGACTCTCTGGGGGCGGGGCCGGGCTACTGGTGTTTGTAAAAGTTTACCTTATATTCACCCAGGGATGACAGACACTACTTTACATCAATTTCTCTCAAGTTTCAACATGTTCCACACAGGCCCGGGATGTCGTGAAAATGCGCATGCTGGCTCAGTAGGTCTGGGTGGGGCCTGAGGTTTTGTGTTTCTAACAAGATCCTAAGTGATGACGTTAATGTTGGTCCACGGACTGCTTTTTTAAGAAGCAAGGCCCAAGACCAGCGGTTCTCAAAGTGAGGTCAAGAATCACCTGGGAACTCGTTAGGGATGCAAAATTTCAACCCCCTGCCAGACCGACTGAATCAGACACTCGGGGGTGGACCCAGCAATCTGTTTTTACGAAGCTTCCGGGTCAGTGATGCTCACTACCTTTCCAGAACCATTGGCCTACATGGCACTGCCCCGTAGAAACAGAACGCAAGTCACATAGGTAATTTTAAATGAGCTAGCAGTCAGATTTGAAAAAGTAAAAAAGAAACGAGTGAAATTAATTTCAGCAAAATATCCTCTTTAACACACTGTGTCCAAAATACTGTCCTTTCAACACGTAATATACAAATTAATGTCATAATTTACATTCTTTTTTCAACATGCAGTCAATATAAAAATGATATGATGGTTTACATGTTTTAGGAAGAGAAAACATTTAATTTAATCTTTTTATTTGTACGAGTTTGTGGGGTACAAGGAGAATTCTGTTACATGGATGTACCGCATAGTGGTAAAGTCATAGATTTAATGAATGTATCCATCACCTGAATAATGAACGTCATACCCATTGAGTAATTTCTCATCATTCACCTTTTCTTTGTATAAAGACCTCAAAATCTAGCATGCATTTTATACTTACATGACATCTCCGTTGAGACTAGCCACGTTTTAGGAGCTCAGTAGCCACATGTAGCCACCATATTGGATAGCAAAGCTTTACACTCACCGCAGAGATGATGGTACTGACTTCCATCGGATGCTTGCTGTGTGTCAGACATTACCCAGCTAAGCATTTTATGTGCATTATCCTGTGAGCCCTATGACAGCTCATTATTATCCCCATTTTCTACGAGGGCGGGTTATGCTCATCTTTGTTTCCTTAACGCCACAGCTTCTCGAGGAAGGCCAATATTTAAATGCATTTTCCTTTGTGGTATAAACTATTATAAGGAGGAAAAAGAAAAAAGCAATTAAAAATAATGTGTCTATCTGAGGCTAGGCTTCCAATTATTACCAGTAGAATTACCATTCCACATTGAGGCCAAATATCCCATGTTAGATTGGCAGGTATTTAAGACATAGTAAAATGTGACCATTTAAAAATAAATGAACAGAAAAACGCATTATTCTAGGGTGATTTTTTTAAAGCCTGGTATACATTTTTAAAACAAAGTTGATCTTATTATAAAATTCAAATTAGAGATTTCAAAGTTAATTTAGAATTTTAAAATTTGAAATATAATTTTAATATAAAGTCTATTGAGCCAAAGGATTTCACTGTTTTTAAATAGTACTTGAAATAGTAGTCATGTAACCCTTTTTTGTTTTTACATGGCATAATCCTCAGTATTTTCCATAATCTATTTCAGTGTCTTTAATTGCAAAGAAAGAATTGAATTTGATATGAGCATCTAGCAACCAACCCTCACATTAATTATAAAATATATCAGAGCTTTTTTTTTTTTTTTTTGAGATGGAGTCTCCAGCCCAGGCTGGAGTGCAGTGGTGCAATCTCGGCTCACTGCAACCTCCACCTCCCAGCTTCAAGCGATTCTCCTGCCTCAGCCTCCTAAGTAGCTGGAACTACAGGAGTGTGCCACAACGTCCAGCTAATTTTTTGCATTTCTATTAGAGATGGGGTTTCACCATGTTAGCCAGGATGGTCTCGATCTCCTGACCTCGTGATCCACCCGCCTCGGCCTCCCAAAGTGCTAGGATTACAGGCGTGAGCCACCGGCGGTTTTTTATAGTGGATTCAGGTTGAAGACTCTCTTTTCATCCCCCGATGGAAAGCCTCTCTCAGTAGTACTTTCTGATTACCGAAGCATTCTTTTTGTTACGGGGAGTAGGGGGTTGAAAAAACACAGGGATTTCGTCTATGTGGAATGAAAGCGTTCCTAAAAATACTTAACTGCTTCCTTGGTAGAAAGCAACTAATTTTCCTCCCTGGTGGTGTTGTAAAGGCACAATGACTCAGTGCTGGCCTGAAGTTGATCTGACGATGCATAGTATCTTCCTTCATCCATAGTAGAAAGAGATCTCAGTCTTCAGCTGCCATGATGTGAATAGTCTCATCATGTGAAACAGTCTGGAAAATACTTAAACATTCTGTTTTTATTTATTCTCGCTGCATCTGTGCGCTCTAAACCCCTGAAGGCGAGGACACTTCATTCTACCCGCCACTGTGTTCCCAGAGTGCTTGGCTTACAGTAAGCTCTGAAGTGCTCACCAAATAAACATTTGCTGAATGAATGAACGAATGAATACAACTTCTTAATTTTTAATTCTAGAAACAAAATGAAGGCTCAAAGTTTGTCAGTCATTGTCAGTGACCCGACCAGAATGATTTCTTCATTGGCCTGTGGAGGCGGAGGCAGGGGTCACTGTTTGTCTGCCTCATGTCACTGAATGGTCCCCAGTCTCTGCCAATAGATAAGAGGTGTCAACGCTTAACCCAGTAGCTTTCAAAAATAGCATAGTTGATGAAACTGGAAATTTAGGTGCGGGCTCTTTTAAGAAATGATTTGTCTTCATTCTTAAGAAGAATAGACTGGCAACAGATACTGCTGACCAGAGAGCACTCAAGTATTTCTTAAGACCCCTTAGGAAATAGCAGAAGAAAAGCCTTCCTTCTCAATAAAGCATAAACAGGACATCTCATTTTCAATGAATCAGGTAATTCATATTGAAAACTTGAGGAGCACTGTGTTTCTTTAAGATTCCAGTCAACTTTGGGTTTGTTTTGTTTTCAATGGTGCTGGCAGTTTTCCTTAACATTTAAATGAATATTTGCACAATGAACCAAGTTGTTGTGGGTTTCCTGGTTGGTGTTTTTTCCCCCCTGGAGTGGGGGGTGGCGATCTGGGCAAGGCATTTTCATCCCTTTGCAGACAACCCCGGCTGCTGTTAATGCTGAAAATAGCTCAAATGCTCTCAGAACAGTAGCACCACCCAGCAGCTGGGATTCTTTCCCTCTCTTATTTGCCTCTCTCTTGCCTTTTTTTCCTTCAGACACTTGGATTGGACTTAATCTTAAACCTCTGGAGTTCAAGACCTTTTAAAAAGGGCTAAATAAACAATCTCTACATGTAAAAGGCCACTGACTCCTACTTCCTCTGCATAGAACAACTGTTGAACTCAGCTGGCTGTAGGTAAGACTTTTTATTCCGGAATTATTTAATTGTTTTCTGATATGTTCGTGACTAATGTCTTTAAAATAACTTACTTACAGTGGAAATAATCAGGGGAGTTGTGAACAGTTCCCAGGTGAACGTTGTGTTCTAGAATACAGCAGGAGCATCTGGGCGTGTTTGTGGCTGCACATTTGAAGCTTTGCTTAAAGCTCTCGTTATAGTGACCTGCAGTACAGACTTGACTCTGACTGAACCACGGATCAGAGGTCTAATTAAGCCTGATTGCCAGAGCAATGAGAGGATCTTTCAGACATCATACTTTTGTTGTTTAGACTGCTTTATTTTTAACTTTCCAGGGGCATTAAAAAAAAAGAGAGAGAGGAAAAAATGCCATCCACTTGAGTAAAGAGAATATATATAAGGAATTATTCTTTAAGGGCAATGAGTGAGCTGTATTGTATAATGTTCTTCTTTTATCACTGTTTCGTTCATTGCTCGTGTGGAATCAGAGTGGTTGATTTGAGGGTTTTGAGGGTTTTGTTCTTGTTATTGTTGTTTTGTATGTTCCTAGCACACTTTAGGGGACGGTTTTGAGGATTCCTTACTAAGCTGAATATTTTTTGCTAAGTACACTTGCTGGCAGGTTTCTCTAACGTGACAATGTGATACTTTGGGTCAGTTTCGGTGGCTCCCTCTCCCCCTCGTTATGCTTGCACTTGACATTTTGCAAAGTACTTTGATCTGTGGACTTTAACTTCAAACACAGCATTTACTTTCATTGTGGCTATTTACTCTGTTCAGTAAAATGTCTCCTTTTTTTTCCTTTTGGTTTAATGCTTTGATAGCATTTCCTTTCAATAATTTATTGGAGCTTTAGTTTTCCTCACCGATCTGTCTTCGGTTTTACTTCTAGAGGGACCCCCCTTTGAAAGAAAGGTATTCTCTGGTAAAGTTCCCCCAACACAGACTTCATGACAGTTCATGGCCCCTGTCTGGCAGATGTGTAAGAGCCAGCAGCAAATGACAGTGCACAGAACCCCAGGCTGGCTACCCTGCTGCCTCAGAATCTCCGTGTGCCTTCGGGCCCAACGGGTGCTTTTTTAAAACATGGATGCTGAAATCTTCAGAGGTCAGAGATACTTTTTTTTCAGAAAAGTTTATTGGTATCGCAGACCACATGTCAAAGGAAAGCATGCATTCTAACCACATAATGATCTTCTGAGTAACAAAAACAGAGGAAGAAATAACAAACAAAGAAAAAGAAAACCAAAATCAAAAGAAAACTGGAAAAAAAACCAAAAACAAACACAAACCCTCAGTAGCCAGAAGTCTGTTTTACGAGTGAAACTTCTGCTGTGTAAGGGATAAGGGATTTCTTAAAAATGTATTTCCTAAAATGGGCAAAATGTTGCACTTACTAGCCATTCAGTCAACTTTGGAATATTCTCTTCATTGTAAAGAAGGCACAAGCATGTGTGACATTTGTTCCCCTTTTCTTTCCCACCGCAAGCACAAGGTATTTTCACAGTCCTCAGCCAAATGCAGAGTTTGACATTCCCTGGCAAACGGTCCCTGTGTGTTGTGTATTCTGCTGAAGGTTAGGAATAGAATGAGCCTAATCCTGTCAGGAGGCTGCTTAAGTCCCAGTCAAGGACGCTAGCTCCTCAGCGCTGACGCAGTCTGCCCCCTGTCCTCTGCACCTTGCTAAGAAGGACAGACGCAAGTGGCCACAGGACAAGTCTCCAGAGTGGCAGAACTGTGGGGAAAGCTATGGCAGAGATCCCCCTGGATTAGGAGCAGATGCAATAGAATCTCAAAATTTGGATTCATAGTAGAAAAACCTAGAGATGTTCAGTCTAATCTTTTAATTTTGCAAACCTGGGCATTTCATTGCCACTTTTCCCCTTCAAATCTACATTATAAGAAGCATGTTAATCATTGCATTTATATATATGGTTGACATTTTAAATCCTCCCGTTATTTTGAGCCTGGACTTTGTAGGGGGCGGGGGGGTGGTCTAGCTAGAATACTCACTCCCCCTTAGTACTGGGAAGCCTTGGTCGCTGGGGGCAAATATATTGCTAGAGGTGATACTCCAGCAGTAAAATTAAAGGGCGCCAGGATGAGATCTTTTTGGAGAATGGTAGGTGATCATTCCATTCCCAGGCAAGCCATTTTTCCCCTGTTTTGTTTTGTTTTGTTTTTTCTTTCTGTTTCTCTTCACCCCTTAATTTTACGTTGAAACTCTGGACTGTTTGAATGTGAAACTCCAGGTGAAACGTAGCCAAAGCCAGCGAGTTTCACCCGGCTTCCACATGAAAGAAGTATTCTACCCAGCCTTGCACGAAACTTGGCCTGTGTTGCCAAAGGTTTCATGAATGTCAGTGAGCCTGAATTGGAAACATAACCCAAGGCCAGGTGACTTCTGGTGACTTTAGGCTTTATTGTATTAGTGTAGAGTCTGCTGAACAGGGACAGTCCTATTTCCACATCTCCTACTGTAGTTTCATGGGGGCACACCTTTTCCCCCAATAAACTCCCATTTATCTCATGATGTTTGAAAGCCAGGTTCAATCCTAATATGAATGTTTGTAGCCGTGGGATTGAAGCACTGGCAGATAGAGGTCTGCGTTTTAAATTCCAGCAGCCTGAGCCCCAGTGGTGTGAACATGTTGGTATAATTCAGCGTTAGGAAGGAAGTCCCAGGAGAGCCATGGAATGCCTTTCTTTGCTTAAATATACCTCTGTGCTCGTGAGGAACAAACAGTAACATTTTGTCCAGGTCTATCCGCTTGACAGTATGCCTTTTGTTCCCTTTCCAAAGGTGGTGTCAAATATATTGGTGGAAAAATAATAAACTTCCAGATATTTTTTTTCCTCCTGCTCAACTGATATACTCCAAGGGAACATTGCAAGCATTGAGAAGCTCAGTACTGTGGCTGGGAATGTAAGGTATACTGAGAATAAAGGAGCCCTCAGTGGAGGCAACGTCCCTCAGGAAAGCATGGCGGCCTAGAGCTGATGTGGGTGTTAACAGTCACATGGGACCTGGTTGGGAAGGTGTGTGTGTGTGTTTTCTGGGTCGGGGTAGTAGCAAGCAGAGAGGAAAAGGGGGATTTGGAAGCTTTGTTCAGCAAATCTATGACATCGAAAACAAAAATGATCAAGCCCAGAATCTGGAAACATTCTTTTGTAGATCATAGAAATTTGTGTTGGCTGAATATTGACTTTTTTTTTTGTATTATTTTTCTCATTAGAGACACCAAGCATTAGGATTCCAGGCATAGTAAATAATCTCCAATAAAAATATGACCCATTGGGAGACACAGATCATTACAGATAACTCCCGTGAGTCAGTCTCAGGAAGGCCCTCATGGTTCTCTGGCAGCTGTGAAATGCTCGGCCACCCAGGACACTAAGATTTGACTTGTCCTTTTCTTAGTTGGAAGCTTTCTAAACTCGTGTGAAGAATTTTCATAAAAATAAATTTGTGGCCTCACTAAAGATTTAGACTCTCTTTGGTGAGATACATAGATATAGGTTTATTATGAAATTAAATTGCCATCAATTTTCATTTAAAATTTCATAGTCACTTACGTATTCAATAAAATAGACTTTCATTAAAGATATGGTTTGCATTTTAGCAGTGACATGCAGTAGATGCCCTAGTAGGGAAAGCATTGGAAAAGCCAGCAATAACACAACTTGGGAGTGCCATATGTAGAAGCTGCTTTTTAGCACTGACTCCACTAGTCATAGTGTAGCATTTATCAGCATATATGATTTTGATAGCCCCAGACTGGTACCATGAGCAGAGGAAAGGAAGATGTTCAAATGGACGTTCTAGAGAAATCATTCAGAACCATCCCACAAGGAAGTTCTCAGTAAACATATAAAAGTATAAGGAGTTCAGTAGTTTTAAGACATTCATCATCCATAACAAAACAGAAAAAGGGAAAGGATAGGCTGGGCGCGGTGGCTCATGCCTGTAACCCCAGCACGTTGGGAGGCTGAGGCAGGTGGATCACTTGAGGTCAGGAGTTCGAGACCAGTCTGACCAACATGGTGAAACACCATCTCTACTAAAAAAAAAAAATTAGCCAGGTGTGATGGTGCACACCTATAATCCCAGCTACATGGGAGGCTGAAGTGGGAGAATCGCTTGAACCTGGGAGGCGGAGGGTGCAGTGAGCTGAGATCCCACCATTGCACTCCAGCCTGGCAACAAAAGTGAAACTCTGTCTAAAAAAAAAAGAAAAAGAAAAAGAAAAAAAATCAAGGGAAAGGATAAAAACGCCAGGGAAAGGATTTTTAAAAAAAATTAAAAATTGAGAATCAACACCACGCTAGTGTAGGTGCAAATGTTTCTCTAAATCATTAAAAATGTTATTTCAAGAAGACTTCATTTGTCATTTAAGAATGCAAAAGTCAGTGCTTTAAAAATCTTTTTGTGCATAATTGACTGTCAGAAAAAATAGAGTCCATGTAATATTTTATTTATTTCTCAAGGATATATTATTACAGTCTACATTTACATATACGATGTACTTGTTTTCTTTTTTAAAAAAGTCAGTGTTTGTCTGATCAGGACGTGATGACACAAACAGTAACAGCAGTGGTCTCCCCTTTGCCGTACAGCAAAGAGGATTATTTATCAGAAGCAGATTAAACAGTTATTTTTAGAAGTCTTCATTCTCCAACGAAGTTTTTATTAGTTATTTGGATATTATATTTTTCTCTGAAATAAGAAGTAGTAGAGCCTGAGCATCCCTACTCTAAAAGTCTGAAATTCAAAATGTTCCAAAATCTGAAACATTTTGAGCACCAACATGATGCCACAATTGGACAATGAAGATGACGTTAACACTGCAGAAAATGTGCATACAGATGTCACAGTGACAATGTGATGGGCTAACCAAAGGACTAGAGCAGAGGGCATTCATAACAGAGTAAGCAGTCATGTCTGTGTAGAAACTCAAAGGGAGACTTCCAAGACAAAAATCACCGTTAATGAGGCA